CTTCAGTCAACAGGAAAAGGTTGTTATAATGGAGAGCTATGAAAAATATAAAATATTTTGGCAAAAGCTCTCTTACTGTAAATGATACAAAAGAGGAATTCTGGATGAAGGAGTCAAGTGTGTAAATTAATACAGTTGTGACTTGATAATCCGACCCTTAACAATCCAAAACCGGTTTGTCTGACAGGTTTTTAGGAAAATACAGTAATAGAGTCTTTAAAGGTCTGACATATTCTATGTAAAAACTAGGGCAGCAACCAACATTTTTTTCGTCATTATATCTTTGCAGTTAATCAATTAATTGCTTAACCTGGAGCACATAACAGGAAATGTCACAACTTTTGCGATGCTGAAGGTTACATTTTCAAATATCTTGCAGTCTAAAAAAAAACAACAAAAATACCCAAACCTCCAAATATTTAGTTAAACTGACACAATTTAGTTGTTATTAAATTGCACAAATTGAAAATCTTTAGCCGCACTAACCCTAACTCTTTTTTTGTTCATACATTTCTCTCTTTTTTTTTTAAATTTGAAGGAATATTGTGAGTGTGGAAATTAAATATAGTAGGATTACTAACCTGCTGATGAACAGGTTTGCAGATATAACATATTCATTGTGTCAGAGAGTTTGTGTCAGTCTGAGACAATCGTCATGTAAAGAACTGGTAAACAGGTGATGCTTCTACCAGCAGATTTAAACCCTAAACTCTGAACAGAATCTTCTCCAGAACAAATTAGCTGCGCAGCTTCAGTTACCGTGGTAATGTAGCAGGTTGAAAGAGAGCCACCTTCATGACACTAACCACTCTCCGGCTCTCAGATGTGAATAACACAGCGACTTGAGACCATTGGTCACCAATAATATCCTTTGCAGAGCAGGGTCACAGAGATGTTTATGTCGTCTTCAGCTGTATTCCCCATAACGGTCAAATATTCTCCCTGACCTAACGTCATGTATTACATTAAACACACACTATTTTTATGCCTCGGCTGCGACGACAGCCGCGACCAGAGGCATCATGCTTTGTGGTCGCCTGTCTGTATGTCTCATTCTCTGAATGAGATACCTCACAAAAGCCTATTCTTTACATTTGTTTTGATTAAAATGTCCAATTTGAGTCAAAGATGAACTGATAAGATTTTGGTGGTCCAAAGTCAGTGTGACCCAGCAAAACTCTATTTTGGCTGTAAGTCAAGCTCAAGGCCATAATTGTAGTTAATGACTTCATTGCATAAAGTCATTAGTTGTTATGTTTCACCTTCAACTCATGTTGTGTCTTTCTAAAATGTAGAGTCCTTCACGTTTCACACCTGATCTAGTAAATGAACATGGAAGGACTTCATACAGGTAATTAGACTTCTACTTTGTCAAATATTGTTTCCTCTGTTGTAATGGTTGTCATTCTGAAACAGAAAGATTTACATTTTTCATTTAGTATTTCATTTGTGTAACTGTAAGCTGTAAGCAACACACACTGTTGTGTACGGTTTTCTGCTGTACTTACATTATATGCTATATTCATACTTATGGCCTGGCCACTCATCTGTAAAACAATTATCAATATGGCATAGGTTTCTGCTCTGTACAGGGTAATGGGGTCAGTATCTACAGAAGGATGTTTTTGCTCAGGATGAGGCTGCACACAGTGGAGTGATGCTGATTTGTTAGTGTGTAGCACTATGATCCGCTGTATGTACATTCTACCATGTCTGTGATGTTTCTGTTGCACAGGTTCAAGTTCCTGTGTCCAGGTGTGTTCCAGTGTGATTTGACAGGGCTGGTGTTTAAAATGATCCGTGACGGGGAGTTGGTATACAGAACCACCCAGTGGGATGAGGGTGTCCTTGAGTCAGCTAGAAAGATCCCTGCAGGTCCACTGTTCAACATCCAGGATTCAGAGGATGCTGTCTCTCAACTTCACCTCCCACACTGTGCAAAACAATCCTGTAAGCATGTCCAGTCTGATGCTTGGAAATATAAAATCAAAGCACAGTTATTTCTATTGTGCAGACCTTTAATGTGTGGTATTATTTTAAAAGACATGGATTCAGCTGAGTGAAAATAAGGAGACCTGTATTTACAGCTTTGCTTTCCAAACACCTGTCTGTGGCCCACATCGGTGATAATGGAATGAGCATCCTTGAACCAGTGGAGATAACAGACACTCATGTGGTCGTGGATGTCCCTCACTGCTCTGCCTTTGGCTTGGTATGGGATATGTTCATAAGGCTTTTAAACATCCAGAAACCAATAAGTGGCCAAGTTTTGCTGTTTCACCGACCAACGAAGCAGAGTCGAAAACTGAATGTTTTCCTACTGCCAGAAAACGTGCCGCTGCAGGAGGTAAGAGCTCTTTATGAGTCATTAATAATTCCTGAAGTCACTGCTTTTGTAATAAGCAGAAATTAGGTTTATCAGTCGATGACAAAATTTGTTTCTTTCTATCCATGTTTCAGAATTTGTTATATTATAGTTAGAATTTTATTGTGACCATATTGGCATTTTATTATGTCACAGACATTTCTCTTATCATTTTGGGTTTTATTTTAGGTCTGTGCTGTGTTATTTTTCAAAATATCCTTTCCTTGTGCATTTTTGGTTGATTTGCATCCTTCCTTCTTACAACAAGACAAGTAATATAAATTGCTATGCTGTTTTATCACGAGTCTTTTTAGTTTAACTAATTACATTTGCATAATAACAAGATATGACAAAATTTTTCTGGTGGCAGCAATGAGCTCTAGGAATTCTTAAGAATAAACTGTTTATGAAAAACAAACATGAAAATACTGCATGGACAGTCTTGTATTAAAATCTTATTATTAAATATTAAGGTATTTTATCCTCTCACTTGTTGTGTGAACAACGTATATGTAGACAGGTGAGAAACTAAAGGAGAAGACCGACTAAAAGAGGCAAAACAACAAGTAAAATACTTCATATGCAGTTCTTGCCTCATGCTTCGATAAGTCGTGAGTAAATTAAGAGTAAAAGTGAATCATGTGACACAGTCATGAGATTGTAACTGTACTGAACACCAACACACGATGTCAAGTGTCAGTCAGCTTTTCCTCCACCATCATCAGAACACTGAAGGGGAAATATGCTCGTAATAAAAAATGCTGTTCTTTATTCCTGTTGAGTTTCCAGAGCACTGAGGCGGCTCCAGACTCAACAACAACTTATCAAAACACTTATTTTTTTAGCCATCTGTGTGCCGTATGATATAAAATAATATCTCATCTTGTAGTCTTTCACTCTTGTATCAAGTAACTTTAGTGTCTCCAAGATGAAAGCATAGGAATTTATATAATCAGGGTAATGAAGCCACTGTCCAACAAAAAACATTCTCATTCTGTTTAAGGTAAAAGGGCAACAGGAAAATGCAGAGTATATTGAGGCTCCTTCTCGCTGTCAACTCATCCAAGACCAACCCTACAGTCTGCATTGTTCTGAGTCCTACAGAATACAGCCTCAGGTGCGTATGTCCAACACAACTCCTATATAATGTGTCAGAGCGTGCTGTAAGAGCTGACAGAGCAAATTAAATATGTATCCCATGTCTATTCTGATGGTCTGATTCACTGTCTTTACATGTTTGGTTCAAGATTTCATCCATCTATGTACTATACATCGTTTCAGCCTCTGTAGGGTCATGGGGGGCTGGGGCCTATCTCAGTTGACTTAGGGTGAAGGCAGGGTACATCCTGGACAGGCCACCAGTCCATCACAGGACCTGGTTATGGGTTGTGTAAAAAAAATATTCCATTCAATGCATATACCAAACAGTCGCAACATTAAAACCACCTTCCGAATCGGTCAGTACTCCTTGTGCCACCAAAACAGCTCAGACCCGTCCAGGCCTGGTCAGGTGTCCTACGGTGTGGATCCTTTGGATCCTGTGATTTATGGGGTTGTAGCTCCATGAATTGGGATTGTTCCGAGGCATCTCACAGATGCTCGATCAGATTGGGATCTGGAAAGTTTGGAGGCCTGGCAACTCCTTGGGCTCCTTAAGCCAGACCTGAGCAGTTTTTACAGTGTGGTAGGCTGTCGTCAGAGTGTCTTGTTGCCGTTAAAGTTTAGGTGGGCCATATGTGTCAAAGTAAGAATGCCAGCAAAACATCGAACTGTAACAAAACGATCAAGGCCATTCACTTGGTCAGTGGTTTTAATGTTATGGGTGTTTTGTTTTAATGTAATGTTATGCGGCTTACAAAACAAAATAATAAGCAGACATTTGGGGACACTTCGGATTCAGGTGTTGTTCAGGGTTTCTCACAGTCATTAGATTTATTGTAAGTATATATAAAAACTTTAAATTGTGCAGCTTTAACTTAACATAACATGAAGTAAATCTAAGAAATGTGCTATGATTTGCAGAGGGCCTCATTTGACTTTAAGTACGGACCAAATTACCACCCGACTTTTGAGATCCGGCTAACGACGAGCACAGAGGAAGCAACTGTGACAGTCCAAGACCAGGAGGGGAAACCGGCCTGGGATTATCATATTGAACTACCTGGTAAAGAAGGCTTGGCTGTGTTATTATCAGTCAGAAAACACTCCTTCACACAGTGTACAGTTCATGATTTAATTCAGATTTCTTCTTCTGTTCTGCTTTTTCACACGAGTACACATCCTATTAAAATCCCCTGCCTTTAGCAGTCTCTGAACTGCAGCAAGTCCTCTTTTTTATTTGTAATTTCTGACATTGTTGCAAATATCAGAAATATCGGCAAATCAAAGCATGTCCTTCACAGTCTTGTCGTTTTATTTGTTTCTGGTTTAACACTAGCCTCGAGTTCACCTGCCCTGTCAACCCCACCTCCAGTCAATGAAACAGCCTGGTTCCCAGCTGAAGAAATAGGTGAGCAGCACTGTTGAATGAGAGGCAGAAAACCTAGCAAATGATTAAGTTTCTGCAATGCTGTGTGAATTTTACTTTCAATGAAAACACACCTCAGAAAGTCTTATTCCTGTCTTTTGTCTCTGAATCTGCAACAGGCATGCTTAACATTAGAGATGCTATTATGATTTGGACATCAGTCTAGCTTCCATTTAATATTCTGCTTTAATACATCTCTACATTTTAGTCAATAAACTTGTTCAGTCTCCCTGCATGGGATCAATACAGTATCAATTCACTTCATCCTCAGCTACAACTGCTCTGTCAACCCAGCCTCTGGCCACTGAAGCAGCTTCACTCCCTGTGCCAGCTAGAGATGAAGGTCAGCACCTCTGTGTTCACATAACCTACAAAATACTAGAAAAAAAATCTAGATGTGTCACTGGTTCATCTTCTCCTAAACTACTGCACAGTTTGAACTAGTTATAGCATTAAAGTATAAAGTAAATTAAGACCATAACTGTAGGTTCTATAATTAACCTCTTAAAGTTTGAAGTAGATTTTTTAAATCCACTTCAGGTGATCAAATAGAATTATTTTCTGACTTATCTTCCAGGTCCAGATTCAAGGAGACATAATCTTCAAAGGACGCCGGCTTTCCTTGGGAAGGAAGAGAAGAAGTTGTTCTCCGTTCGGAAAGAATTTATTAACAGAGTGTCCACGTCTGTTCTGAAGGATCTGCTCGATGTACTTCTGCAAGAGAGAGTTATAAACAGTGGGGAAATGGAGGACATTCAAGCCATGCCCAGGACAGAAAAAGCAAGTGCGCTGATTGACATGGTGCTGAGAAAGGGACAACTGGCTTGTAAAATTCTGATTGATGCTTTCTGTAAACAAGATCCATTTCTTTCTGAATGGCTGCAGTTAAAGACGCAAAGATAAGAAATGGTAGAATACTAAAAACTGTCTTATGTCAGTACATTTAGAAAACTGGGCTTGATGAGATCATTTACTGTTAAAAGCCTTGTTTTAAAGTTTTACTCTGACATACAGAGTTTTGCAAACTGCAGATCTATGGAATAATGAGCCAGCAGCTGTGCCACATTGACTCTCAGGCACAAGCAATGCTGCCTGTTGACTGTTGACATTGTTTTTGTCTTTAATCAGATTTGTGTGAGTATGTATATAAGTAATTGGCTGATTCTAGCATATCAGACTGAAGTTAATATTGCAAGTTGTGTTGTGTAATGAATATTTTGAATATTATATGTTTTACATGCCATAGTATGCTCAAGTTCAACATGATTTGTGGCCCGACCCCCCGAATATATTAAAATATGCAGGAAGTTGAAAGTAATTTAGCTGATGATATGTTGTTAATTGGCTGTCAAATGTCATTTTTATTGTTTGTGTAAAAGATCTCTAGGATGTTCAGAGTATCTCAAAATGCAAGTGTTATATCAACTTTGTCTGTGTCAGTTCTGCTGATATTTACGTTCTCCTTACAGTTCCTCCCTTCACTTACTTTTGCACTTGGTAAAGCTTTTATGTCAAACATCAGACATCTTCTCTGTGGTTCTGCGGTGGTGGAACGAGTTACCAAACTCTGTTCAATCTGCTGACTCCCTCTCAGTCTTTAAGAAAAGACTAAACACCCAGCTCTTCACTGAACACCTCTGCACTTGACAGACTGGGAAAATTAAAAAAAAAACAAACAAACTATTACCTCCTGCACTGCCTGTAGGCACCAACACCGTGTCACACTTGAACTTGTTCTATGGCATTTATCCAGGTTGTTTTCTCCTGACTAGATCCTTGCTTGTGTTGTATTTGCTCTCAGATGTACGTTGTTTTGGATAAAAGCGTCTGCTGAATTAAATTCTAAAAACATTGTGTGATCCTTTTATGGGTTTTCTATGTTCACCTCTTTGTACTAGTCATGGTACCCACCACTCATGCTTGGCACAGTCTATACTAGGCTGTGTTTACTGCAAACAAATCTAACAATAATACTTTAAGGACTTAACCTTAATTTTCAAAAGTGTTAGCTAAATTTGTAATGTCAATCTTATGTCTGTACTGAGCAGCACTTTGTTTAAACTGTGCTATATAAATAATGGTGACTTTCCTTGACTACTAGGGTCTTTTTTAGCTTTGTTATATTGCTTGTATTTATTCATATTGTGATATTTTGTGTTTTAGTTTTGCCTTTATCTGAATTGTTGTTAGGTTGCCTTCTGGGTATCCTGCTTTTGTCGGTCAAACCTTGCTGTCAAGCTTAGTTTTAAAAAGTTCTACATAAATTAGTATAATTGTTGTCATGATTGTTATTATTCTTCGTAGTAGTATTACGTTCACACGTTAAAAACTATCCAGCAATCTGCCATCGATTGATTTAGCCTTGTGTTCAACAGTAACCCCAAGCCAGGCGGAAGCAATAGATCAACGAAAGCTTCAACTGATCAAAGATGAGAGCGGCGAGCTAGCGTGTTAGCCTAGCATAATTTGATGGAGGCTGACCGGGGGGCGGACAACCACGATGGAGCGGCAAAGAGAGCCAGCACCACAGTTTCAGCAGTGAATTGAGATGCATTAAAACTCCACCAGCTTGGATACAGTAACTGAGGACGGAGAGGAACAGCACGATATGCAGTGAGTACCGATTTTCACCCGGCGGAGCAACGGAACCGAATTAATCCCGCTAAAAGTTTGAAGCCGCCAGGCCCACTGCTACCAGTGCTAAGTTAGCCGGTTAGCTCGGCGCATGCATCCTCCTCCACTAATGTGGAAACTTGACAGCTTTGGACTAGATTTGTCTACGGCTCCAACTGTTTTGAACTTCCAGGCTAGCTGACACACATATTTGCAGCACCAGTGTGGGCGTTTGCACCGTTTTTGAGGCAGTACGAACGTTAGCGCTACTTTGCTAGGTAATTAGCCACTGCGAGGATGCTGTGCTCTGGAGGGTTAATTTAGCGATGAAGACGATGAATCGGAATTTAGGCACAGCAACATGATGCACTGTCCTTTACAGTCCCTGACAACTTGAAAACGGTCAAACTTTAACAGCTTGGGCTTCCGGCTGCAGGATGAGAGAGAATGTGATGTGCAGGTGTCTTGTGTTCGCTGTAACATGCCAGGTGTGTGACTCTGTGTGGTTTCTGGTTGTCAGGTCATGAAGCGGGCTCGCACTGAGCAGATCCAGTATGTCGTGGCTCAGTACCTGAAGAGGAGGCAGTATGTGGACACTGAAAGCTCCCTGAAAGGAGCCAAGCTCTTTCAGTCAGCTGAGGAGATGGCTGCCAGCCTCACAGGTGAGCACAGATGAAGATTTGATGTGACACCAACAGCAACATAATTAACGGGAAAGCCCAATCTCTGCACTACCACACGGTTCTGTGACTATATTTAGGCAGACTGAAAAGGTCAAAATGAACCACATAGCAGGTAATAATATGTCTCAAAATAACTCCAAGCAACAAGTTACCTTAATGTGGGATTTACATCACATTACAGTGTGCAACATATCGTTTTTTTATTTATTTATTTAAAAAATGTATATATATTTGCAGCTTCTCAATAGCGTAATTGATGCTTCTCACTATGGAGGATACCACATTTTTGCAGAGATGTGTTTGTTTCAGCTGCTCTTTCCTACAGGGCTTCTGTTGCTCTACCTTCCTCATTAAAATACCCCAAAAGTGTTCTATTAAAATTAAGTATGGTGACGTACTTGTCCAAGTCATAGTTTTCATCCATCGATACACCGCTTAGTTCTGGCTGGAGTCTATCCCAGCTGACTCAGGGTGAAGGCAGGTTCACCTGGACAGGTAACCAGTCTATCACAGGGCTACACTTAGAGACAGACAACCAAGCACACTCACATTCACACCTACGGACAATTTAGAATCACCAATTAACCTCAGCATGTTTCTGGACTGTGGGAGGAAGCCGGAGAACCCGGAGAGAACCCACGCTGCACGTGGGAGAACATGGAGACTCTGCTAGTTATCATGCTGGAATGAATGTACCTCAAGCTTCTGCAGACTGGGAGTCATTTTGTCACCCAGTATTCTGGAAGATTCACAGGCCTTCATGGTGCATCCATAGATGTCATCTCACCAACACCTTTTGGAGTCAGGCAGCTCTATATCATCACACCCCCACCTTCAGTGTCAGGACTATGCATTCACTGTGGTAGTCCTGACCAGGTTCACAGCAAACATTGTGGACCACATCTAAGGTTGAAATCATGTGTCTGGATCTCATCTGTCCGATGGTTGTGCTCCTAGCATTCATCAGGCTTCTTTTCATAATATTAGCAAAGTTCAATCTTGCAGTTTAGTGCTGAAGAGTAAGCAAGCTGTGTCTTTTCTTGTATGCCATCTATAGAGATTCATGTTATGTCCTTTATATTGACTGAACTGTCACAGAAACTCTGATTTCCATTGAAACCCCTGTGTCAAGTCTGTAGCGCTTGCCTGTCTGTTAGTTAGATTGTGAAAGTAGCATCGTGTTCATGGCTTCGCTTTAGGAGGACTGCTGCTGCATCTCTGATCAGTGGCACGATAGCTCGTTGTGTTCCTCTTAATTACTGTTGCAACTGTATTCATATGGATTTTTAGTTGGTAACTGATTTTCCTCTATTTTGAAGACCCACAGTCAGATTTTTAGTTCCTCTAGCCATTCTTTTCCACAATGGAGCTACGATACAGACATGCACAGCTCATAGGTCCAAAACTGAGAAAGTTCTGGTGTTCAGTCATTTTATAAACTTGCTCATGCAGTCAGATGAATTGGAAACCACAGGTGGGTTAGATGAAGTGATTACAGGTGTATTCACTTTCGGGGGCAGCTTTTTCTGTATAATCTTTCTGAAGTGTCTGGTTTTGATTTTCCATGAGAATAAATACTCTGCTGTTGAGCTTAGATATAATAAGACCACTGAGAAGTGATTTAGTTGATCACTTGTATATTTGACAATCTGAAAGGGGGCCATTCCTCAAAAACAATGTTTGACCTCCATGGATGTGTTTCCAACGTCCCTCTCCCTCCCTCTCTCTCTCTCTCTGAGCAGTGCAGACAGAGTCAGGATGTGCCAACGTCGTCTCTGCAGCACCCTGCCAGTCAGATCCACAGCAGTATGAGACGCAGTACTCCCGGCTGCGCTCCTTTCTCTCAGGTATGACATCCATATTCCTGCTGTGCACTCTATTCCATAACTGAAGATGTCTGCTAATTTACACGTCTGTATGTTTTAGAAAAACACATCTACGAAGGTCAGACTCCTGTTTGGGTGAAATGTGATGTTGTATTTGATTTCAAAATCCTCAGAGTACTTTTTATTTTCCCTGAATAGAAGCTGAAATATCCTGGGCGAAAGAGGTGAGCAGCATCCTCTACCCGCTCTTCGTCTACCTCCACCTGGACATGGTGCGCTGTGGCCTGAAGGGGGCGGTGGACGGGTTTTACAGTCGTTTCCATGGTGCCTTTCTTCAGGACAGCGAGCAGCGTGCCACTGTAGAGCAGCTCCGCCATGTTCTCACTGCTCAGGACATTGCATCCAATCCCAAGCTGAGTGCTTTTCTTGAGCACAAGTACGTGGTTCACCTGACGGAGCCGGCCTACAGCTACCTGCTGCGCTACCTGCAGAGCGATGACAACAGCGCCCTCGGCAGGGCCCTCAGCACACACCTGCAGGTGGAGGTCACCGCTTCGAGGCGCACAGACTATCAGCTGTATGGAGCTGCTGGCGGGGCAACAGCCGCCCCAAACTCCACCTCATCCTGGGCGGGAGTGGACGGAGCGGAGGGTGGGGAGGGGGTGGAGGTCCCCGCAGGGATCCCACAGAGCGAAGCAGCGCTGGAGGCTCTGCAGGACTGCATCAAAAAAGTTCGAGAGGGTCCCCCCTCGCTCACAACTGTCTGTTTTTACGCCTTCCACCACACGGAGCAGATGCTGAACACCGCCGAGGTCTCAGCTGACAGCCGGCTGCTGGCTGCTGGCTTCGACAGCTCCACGGTGAAGCTGTGGAGCCTCAGAGCCAGAAAGCTGAAGGCCAAACCGCATCAGGCCGACGTGTCGCACATCCACCTGGCATGTGATGTCCTGGAGGAGGATGTGAGTAGACATGGTTTTTGCTCTTTGTGTTTGCATAGCCTGTTAGGACTATGATTTCTGTTGTTACACTTTCACTGCGTCAGTTTGTCTGTAAAACATCAGAAAATAGAGGAAGCAGTCAGCACAAGCTTTCAGAGACCAGGGAGATGTTTTCTAATCATCTGAAAAGCTCAAAAGTATTGAATTTGCTTGAAGCTTGGTTTTATAATTTTGCTTGTTACTTGGACAAATTAGATCACATTCATGAACTAAGTGACTAAATGTTTCAGTATGTTGAGTAGAATAGAAACACAATTATTGGTTCTTTTCAAAAATCGTTTCCTTATTAAGGTAAGAATTTTAATTTTATTGATTAGCGAAGACTTCACAGCCTTCAGTATGGAGAATTAATATCATCGCAGGCCTTATGTAGTTGGAGCAGTAGCAGTGTTTTCAGTTAATATATGAAGATTTATATAAACTATGAAGGAGCACAGAGCAGCCTCATTTCTGAAACTGTCATGTGGAAATATTTGGTTTGATTAAAAGTGAAATAATCACATTTGCAACTGAGAGACAATCATTCAATTTAACAGAAAATGTATCTGCAGCTGCTGATAACTGATCAATCGTCTTTCTGTGAATGAAAAGTTCTCTAGTTTAGATTATTTAGTTTTCTTACTCTGGTGTAGTTTCTACTAATCAGTTTTTTAGACATTTCAGGAAGTCTTCTTGCATTTTTGACATTGATAATTTAAACAATAAATAAAGAAATAATCAACTGATGGATTGGTAATAATTGTATGCTTTTAACTAAAAATTATACTTTATTTTAAATAGGTTTTTCTTTGTCGTGTAATTTATCTCACTCAAGAAACCATGAAGTCAGTAGTTCAGGATGGAGACGTGTCGTGTAACTTTTTCCATCGTTTCTCGCCAGGTGGATGAAGAGGACAGCTCTGGCAGCGAGATAAAGACGCTGCGAGGTCACAGCGGCCCGGTGTTTCGTACCGCCTTCCTGACAGACAGCTCTGGCCTGCTGTCCTGCTCCGAGGACACAACAATACGCTACTGGGACCTGGGTAGCTTCACCAACACAGCGCTCTACCAGGGCCATGCCTACCCTGTGTGGGACGTGGACGTCAGCCCCTGTAGCCTTTACTTCGCCAGCAGCTCCCACGACCGCACCGCCCGCCTCTGGACGTTCTCCCGGACCTACCCGCTGCGGCTGTACGCAGGGCATCTCTCTGATGTCGACTGCATCAAATTCCACCCTAACTCCAACTACCTGGCCACCGGCTCCACAGACAAGACTGTCCGGCTGTGGAGCACGCAGCAAGGGGCGTCCGTTCGCCTCTTCACTGGCCACCGCGGCCCGGTGCTGTCGCTTGCTTTCTCACCTAATGGGAAGTACTTGGCGTCTGCCGGCGAGGACCAGCGGGTCAAGCTGTGGGACTTGGCGTCAGGGACTTTGTTCAAAGATCTGCGGGGACACACAGACAGCGTCACCAGCCTGTCCTTCAGCCCGGACAGCAGCCTGGTGGCGTCGTCGTCTATGGACAACTCAGTTCGGGTGTGGGACATCCGCAACTCCCACGGCGGGACGCCAGCCGACGGCTCGTCCAGCGAACTGGTCGGACTGTACACTGGAAACACCAGCAATGTACTCAACGTCCAGTTTATGGCCTGTAACCTACTGCTGGTGACGGGAACCGCACAGGAGAAGACGGAGCAGTAGCCACGACGTAGCGGTGTTTGTGTTTGGGAGAAAAGCTTGAATGCGTCCAGATGTTGGTTTGAAGCTGTGGTCACCAGGCAGACTCTGAGAGGTTAAATGTCACCACACACCCAAGAATTTGATTTTAGAGAAGAAGCAAGGCAAAATATTTGTTTTCCTAAAGAGCAATCATTCTTCAACCAAAGCAGGTGATGTCAGTATTACAGAACTCCTCAGTGTCCCTTGTACCTGATGATTTAAATGTGTACAGCTCTCTGCTGACGTGTACAGCACGGCGGCAAAAGAAATTATTGGAGATTATTGTTAATTTTGGATTGAAAAAGCAATGTGCACAAATCAATTTTACCCAAAAAGAAGATGATTCTCGCCTGGGAGAATACCAGAACGTCAAAATGTCTGACATACGTGGAACTTTAAAACGACTTGGGCACTGACTCGTGTTGTGGTGTCAGCGGGTTCCTGGTGGACAGGATGTTGTTTCTGCTGTGTATTCTCGAGCTGCACCTTGTTTCCCACTATATTGCAATAACAGTCTGATCCTTTGAGAAACACGTCTTCTTACTCAGAGTCACATGAGAAGATGGATATCAGTTCTGTCGCTGTGGTTCCAACGCTACAGACATATTTCCCAGATTAGCATGAAGCTGCCTAAGTGAGCAGTGAGTTGCACAACGAAACTCATTCCCTCTTCCTCGTGAGGTGCGTCTTCAGCCATTAACATCCACTCCTGCCTCTTCAGTGTGTGCAGGAAACGGCAGCTTTAAGCAACTTGTAGTGATTCTCATGGATCAAGTGTTCTCTTGAGTTAAAGCCCTCCCTGTTTGACCGGGTTTCACCTTCCTTCCACTGCTGTGCAAGGTGTTTTAATTAAACCTGGCTGATTTTATCTTGGTTTAGGATACAACAGCTGCAGCGATGAGTGGATTCATCGATCAGTGGATCGACAGAAAAGGAAAGGGCAGCTATTTCGATTAATCATCATTTTAGCAAAAATCTAATATTTGCTGTTTCAAGCTTATTAAATCTGACCGTAATAGACCAAACGAGACGTTCGAGGGTGTGATGTGGTCTGAGGAACATCGAAATGGGCAATTTTAACTATTGAATAGTCTGTCTCATTTTCAGTGGCACCCATCCAGTTCTTAAAGGTGTTGAAGGTCAAAAACGAAAGCTAACGAGTGACTGTTGGAGCGTGAAAACACAGGAAACCCAGAGGTTGTTTGTTCTCCTTACTCACGGCAGCGGTGAAAGCTGTCGGTTTGTGTCGGCCTACTGCAGGTATGAGGGACGGTGTACATAGTCTCGTTGAGGACTTTTGTAAGAATCAAAGGCTGTATTTTTTCGCACTATTCTGTCAGTAACTGTGCAATGCTTAAAAAGTGTAAATATACTGTATTTTTGTAGTTTTTGGCTACCAAAAGTTTCCATCCAGGCTGTGCTTAATGAGGGCTAAGAAAAAATACAGATGTAAAAACTGATTTGTTTCTGGATTTATTTTTCTTTTTGCCTTTTTTTTTTTTTTTTT